TTATTTACGCACGCACGGGCCGGCCTTGACGCAGACAGAAAACTCCACGCGAGTAGCCAAACACCCCCCACACACCCCCCCCCCACACACGCTACCTCCGCGTGCCGCCGTGGCATCTCGCACCTGGGAACCGCCGTCTGTGCGAGCGAGCTGGGTGAGTGGGGCCACGCTTTGCTAGAGCACGCACCTGGATTTTGTGCAGTTTGTGGTGGTGGTGTTGGTGCACTCTCCGAGGTGAGTTTGTGTGCTCCCGTGGTTTACGGTCGGTGTGATGGCGATGATTGATGGTCCGGGCTGCAGGCTCGAGAGGGATGAGCCGCGCCGCCGGTAAAAAGTTTGTTGAGAACTTGGAAGTTTTTTTCTGTTGCTTTACGTCCAAACGGCTGACTTTTGTTTTCCTCAATGATTTTAGTTCTTGTATTGGCTCGATCCCCGTGGTTGCTGTAATAATTCAGGTTTATGTTTTAACGCACATACGCGGGACCACTTTAATCCCGTGGCAGTATTTGTGTACGTTGTCACATTTTTAGAATTTTCGAACCGATTTTATTTAATTCCTCCGTACTGAATCTGGCCAAAGTTTGTTATGCGTATGCTACACCAGAGCACAAACGTGCGCGTCGAATAAACGTGCGTGTGCAATCGCGTATTAAAAAGAAAAACTAAATGTACTTACAAGTGCCTAAAATAAGGTGTCGACTTCTGAAATGAGAGCGGGCCGCCAGCCAACTATAGTGTAGCGTGACGGCATACATTCTTGGTTTCATTGTATTCCTCCCCACACCATTCACGTTGGCTGATGAGCAGGGAGACTACGAGGAAGGCCAAATAAACAGAATTTGCATCGACTGTTGCCCTTCCCTCCCATAATGAAGATAAAATGCCTTGCCCAACATCTGATCACAAAGATGAAATTACATTTTTATTTGTTGGCAAGCTGGAAGTTAGTGGTGCAAATTGTCTTTCTCTGCCAACATCTCTTCCCCCCCCCCTTTCTACTTACTGTGAACAACTCCCAATGTGGGATTCATTTTCTGAGCGTGTCTTGGGAGGAAGCTGCGCTACGCAGCGGATTGGCACCGCTGCGCCATGAACCTGGCGACCCCAAGGTTGGATTCCCAGCCAAGTTCAACGCCAGTGTCATTTACATATTTTTAAATCCTTTTTATTAAGTTCGCTCACTTGCTTTTGCACGCTTACGACCGTGCAAATCTTTCGGTCGTTTTTTAACCCACTTCCCGTGATCCAATCGAGCTGACATTTTGCACACAGACTCGTTGTGCTAGACAATTAATGTTCGTGAAAATTTTTTTCCAATATTTTCCACTTTTTAGGAAAAAAAAATTCATATTTAATTTAAAATACCAATGCGATAAAAATGAAACTCTTACTCAGGAAAAACAGAAATGAATAATAAAATAAAACCGATGCCATGCATATAAAGGATTTATAGTGAAAAACTTTGTTTTTACGGGTTAATTTTTTAAAATGTCTGAACAAATCTTACCAAAGCCCACACAGACCAGCGTGGTGAAGCATGGTCAAAATTAAACCCACGAAACTGTCTGGGGGAAGCTTTGACCCAGCAGGGGGAGAGACCCTGAGTAAAATAAGTTGCTTGTATTAAATTTTAGTTTTCGAATTGTATTTAAAACTATTGCCGTTCGTCTTCAAACATTGCAGTAGGAATGTGAAAACGCCAACTGCCTGCGCAATTTTTCAAGCTCTTGTTTGTACACTCCACTGCTGTATGAGGACATCTCTTCCCCTACGCCATACGTTTCCTGAGGGGATATTTAACCATACTTCACCTCGGTGGTCACCCGTCGCAAGAACTATCCTAGGCTCAATCCTGCTTAGATCTGATTCTGGGTGATTTTGGTTGTAGGCAAGCTCTTGTCATAACAACAAGAGGATATATTTACACTGGCCAGTGTAGCCTAAACACATGGTGGTGGGTAGTGGCCACTTGCAGTTGACGTTGCTTGCTCAACAGCACGCGTGCGCAGCAGCAGCAGCAACAACAACAACACCCGCCATTTGCCACCAAGTGGTGGTGACGTGACCCACGGCGCCGGTGCCAGGCCCACGTGAAGTTGTCGAAGGCTCGCCCCGCTGCAACGAGGTCACGGGACCCAGACCCAGGTGCCCCCCATGGGTTTCCCGACCTGAGATGTGACCGGCAGATGCTTGCAACACACGTCCTCGCTGAACTTATGCGCGCCTTTTTTAAGCGCAGATGGTAGTTTATTTTATTTGTTTCCCCACAGAGCTGGTAGAAGGGTATCGCACGTGGATGCGCTGCGATGTCCTTGAACACCCTTGCGACCACTTTGACGAGCCGTGAGAGAGGTTCGGTGGGTGGGTGGGTGGGCGGTCGGGCAGGGTCCGGCGAATGGACGGACGTTGCTCGGTTGGGCTGACTGTCTTGCCCCCCCCCCCCCCGCCCACCTTTGTTAGCCGCCCGGCAACTTGTGCTGCTGCCACCACCGCTGCTGCCACCGCCGCTGCCAAAGTGGCCTTCGTTCGGACGTCTGGGCCAATTCTCCCCCACCCACGGAGGGAGTGCGCGAATTGGCATCTGTGGAATTTGCGGAGCGCTCCGTTGTGTTCTCGCGCTAACGTAAAGAGTCGGCGGGGTGGGGGGGGGACGTTCAAAATAGATTAACGTGTAATCGCGTTGATAGGAGTGGCTCTGTAGGTTGGGGTGGCGGGGGGCAGTGAGCTTTCCCGATGGCTGGATGGTGTGGTGATCCTGTCTGTAACCACCAGTGAAAAGCGCTCTGCTTGCTTGAATTTTTTTTAAAACAGTTTAACGCGTTGAGACTTTTGCAACCAATATTATCCATAAGAGTTTTTTTTTTGGAGGTTGGATCGCGTAAATAGATAAGTTTGTCGTTAAACCCGCCACCACTCGACACGGCCGACTAAGGTTTGTCACGTAATCAAAACGTGCCAATTCGTTACTAGTACAGCACACCGGTGTGTGCAATTGTACATTTGCAATGGTAATTATTGTGGGTTTACTCTCCAACACACCGGTGTGCTGTACTAGTGTAATGGGTTCAACTGAGTCGCAGACTACCAGCAGCCTCTTGCCCACTACGGCAATTGTTTATTGCTGTGGTTGTTCCACCTGATGACGGGCACTTGTGTTGCGCCCGAAACGTCGTGATTTAATTAAGTTTATATTTTATACTTGCGTGACTTTACCGAAAGAACCAAAGAGTATGGATCCCTGCAGTCACGAAAACTTCAAATCTAGAATGAGTCGCAGTCGTAAACTTTGTAGGTAACACATTTATTCAGTCCCAACACATGGTAACTTCCCCTTTTTAACAGAATAACAACCCAATGGTGGTAACCACCCGGCTAACTACACTAGTTACCACGTAACTGCTACTATGGACCGGGGACTAAAACATCTGCCCGGGTCCACGTGCTGGAAGACTTGTTGAATGGAGATGGTAGACGAAGGGTTATCTTTCCCAGGATTAACAACTCTGGTTCCTCCCCTCGGGACCCGGCTGATATTCTCTGTGGCGTGGCCGGCTCTGCCCTTGGCCACGGTCCACCTTCCAGAATCCTCGGGAAGGATCTGGGTCCCAATCACGTGACCCCCCCCCTAGCCCCCTCTTGGGGCCCCTCTATCAACTTAACCGGTCACGTGTCCTCCCGGGTCAACCAGAGTGCCATGGCCTCACACAACCCTATCCTTCGGTCGGCACCCACACACCCTGTCCTGTAGGGTCGGCACTGCACTTACAGCGTGGTGCCATCCAGCGCCATTATTCCGTGCACACCGTGCCCCTCTAGGGCCGGTACTAGCAACCCACAACATGGTGGGCATCCAGCTATGTCATTACGTCAGTCACGAATTGGCATGTTCTGTTTAAGTGACAAACCTCCTCTAATTTGCTGTTGTGTCGGGTGGTGGTGGGGGGGTTAACGCACATTTACGTGATCTAACCCCCATGAAAGCTATTAGTATTGTCCCCTTGTCGTGCCCGTGTCCTTTAAAAATGTAATTATTTCAGCCTCCAGTAGGCACGCTCTCAGTGCAGCGAACAACGGCCCACATTCGTCAAATAACGCCGCTCTCAAGGGGGTGTAAAATAACACAATGTAATCGGAGATGATTCTGGCAAAAACGGCCCTCCATAGAGGTGGAGATGGAGGCTTATTTCCCCGAGCAACACGGTCTTGTCTCCAATCTAATTTATAACAAATCGCAATGATCAATGTGGTGGTGACGGTGGGAGAAAGCTGATAACAAAATAACCTCCCAATATTTGTCTCCGTGTAAAAAAGAAATTACGTTAAGTGTGTTTTTTATTTTACACTCTTGGGAATTCAACTTGGCTATGATGTTGTTGCTTTGAAACCGAGGTGCCAAACAACAGGCAAGCGAAGGTCGTATCGTACAGTGCAACAACGAGAGCACGGATATAAAAATGTATCAACTTTATTTTTTATTCCCCAATTCCATGTGCACGTTGTTGAAATATGGAATCTGGTGCAGGAGCAACTGCAATTAAAAAGTTAGACTGAGGGCAAAGTTTTTTAAATGAAAGTGCTTATAAGCCTGTGGTGCTGAAAAATGCGTGCAGTACAGTATGCCAAAGACGGCGTTTGAGGAATTTGGCTCGACGGTGTGACATTGTGGCAACATTTCATGGTGCGGTTACTCTTTGCAGTTTCGAGGCTCGGTGTGGATTTGATGCCCTCTTAATATTTTCTCCGGCACCTGGGTCCAACTCATTTTATTTCTGGTTCATTCAATGTTTTGTCATTTTTAAGACGCCAGCAATCCTGGAACGTGTCTGCGCGCTATCGAGGTTTTGCGAACATTTAATCGTTTTTCATTGCGAGGACCTTTTCGATGAAATCGGAGAATGTTCGGTCGCCGTTGTCGATTTTTTTTTTTATTTGACACGCCGGTGCATTCTACTCCATTTGCAAGCTCAAACATATGACGACTTGTATTTTTTGCATTGCAGGCTCCTGCAACGGCTAATTGAATTTCAAGACGCTTGCCAAAAGTGGAAGACTGTCAACCTTGTGAAGAGTTCCCCTTTATTTATTTTACTCCCCTCCAGCAAATCTCTCATCGGAATTAATGCCACCTCGACCACCTCAACCACAACGATAACCGGGGGCCCCCTGCGGTGTTCAAAAATCGCTGGCGGGAGGACGAAATTGCTCCAGCTTGGTGGCCTCATCGCCGCGGCCCCCCCCCACCCCCCCCCAAACCTCCTTTTTGTATAATCATCGTTATTATGGGTCAGAAGATCTCAACGGGCGTGAAGAACGTCGACGACGAGTCGTCGTCGTCGTCCGTCTGCCGCTCGCTGCGCCACCAGGCGTTCCTGGGGCCCGACTTCTGCCGTCCGGCGCGTCTTGACCTCCTCCTCGACCTGCCGCCCGCCAGCGCCGAGGTGCGCGCGCGCCACGCCTGGAACGACCGCGACCGCTCGCTCAACGTCTACGTGAAGGAGGACGACCCCGCCACCTTCCACAGGCACCCCGTGGCGCAGAGCACCGACGGCATCCGGGGTCGCGTCGGCTACACGCGGGGCCTCCACGCCTGGGAGGTGACGTGGCCCGCGCGTCAGCGGGGCACCCACGCAGTGGTCGGCGTGGCAACGGCGGACGCGCCGCTCCACTCGGTGGGCTACACGTCGCTCGTCGGCTCCACCGCAGACTCGTGGGGCTGGGACCTCGGGCGCAACAAGCTCTACCACGCGGGCAAGGCGGTGGGCCGCGACGGGGAGCACAGGACTTACCCGGCGTACCTGACGGCGGACGAGAGCTTCGTGGTGTCGGACTCGTTCCTCGTGGTGCTCGACATGGACGAGGGCACCGTGAGCTTCGTGGTGGACGGGCAGTACCTGGGCGTGGCGTTCCGCGGGCTCAAGGGCAGGAAGCTGTACCCCGTGGTGAGCGCCGTGTGGGGCCACTGCGAGATTACCATTCGCTACATAAACGGACTCGATCGTGAGTACAGCCGATTTTTTTTTTTTTACTTTTTGATTTTTGCGAGCGTGGGCGTCGCGGTTTTGCCGTCGTGATTTTGTGTGTCGCCGATTCTCGCCCGTACGCCGTTTGGGGGATGTTGGCGGTTGCCACGGTGTGGGTGGGGAGGGGGGGATGTAGAGAGAAGGTGTGGGGGGTTAAAGATTAACTCGCAGGTGCTGCGGAGCAGAGAACGGGGCCGACCAAATGGACCCATTGAAGGTGACGTGGGGTTCTCGATCCCTTCATTGCAGCGGTTCTCAAGCATCCTGACCCGTGGACATCACCTCGGGCGATAATTTCTGCAGGCCACACAGACCCTTTAATAGAAAATGATTCGGATTTCCGGGAGAGCTTTTTTTGTACACAGCTAAAGGTTTTAGTTGGGGGCATTTTAGATCTTCGGCTTAGGGTAGGTTTATGCACGGTAGTTTACCAAACTAAATTTAAATGTCATTAGTAAAATATTGAATGTCCAAATCAAAAGGAAAACCTTGCCAATTCCGGATCTCAACCCATTTGGAGGTCCGGGGGACCACACTGTGAGAACCACAGATTCATGGGAAATGGTGTGGAGCATGGCATGCCATGTGTGGTTATTCCCAAAACTCCCAGCTCCATGGGCAGTGAGATATCTGCAAGGCAGTACAGCAAGTAGGTGGCAGTCGCATCCTTGAAGCGCTTCTTCCAAATCCCAACTTTTACGTGACGCTACTCATAAATGTCCTCTTCAAATGACCAAATATCACAGGCAGGAACCTCGAATCAAATTGTTTCGGCAGCTCGTTAAGACTTCCCCGTGGGGTGCCACTGTGGCGCTGTTAACTACCCCATCTAGTATGCAGGAGGTTGTGAGTTAGATCTTGACGTCTGTATATTTGGAGTTTGCATGTTCTCCCTGTGGTCACATGGATTTTTTTTCCGAGTTCACCTGGTTTTTCTATCCACATTTCAGAAACATTCGTTGAGAGTAAAAGGGCTGCTATAAATTTCCACAAGCCACTTCGTTGAGCTATCATTTGTGGCCAGGTCACTTCAGAAAAGAGCTATGTAGCTCAGTGGGCCTTACCTGGTAAAATAAAATTTTTAGTTTAAAATAACTACTTTTAACAATATTAATTGTAAAATGTGGAAGTGCTTTATCCTTGTGGTGCTGTCATCTTGAAATAAGAGTTCAAAGTAATTTTGGGTCCTCCTCCAAGGAATTCGTTGATGGGTGCCCTGCCCACTTTTTGTTGCCACAGCCCTTGACTTGACCCTAGGGTGCTGTCTAGGGTTTGTCGACCAATAAGATGGCTTTTATTGTTTACCGAAACAAGACCTATCATTTGAAAATTTAACACAAGTAAAAGAACAGTATATTTTGAAACATTCACGTTAACTATTATTTTATTTTGGGTCTTCCCAAGATAATTCCACTTGTGCTGTAGGGGTGAAAACATTTACATTGGGGACCTCCTGCAGATAACCACGCATTCATGAATGGCTCCTGGAAGTTGATGTCGCACTGCGACTTCTAAAGTCTCGTTAAGTAGACGTCGATATTGAGGGAGCGGGCGGGGTGGGCGAGGGGAGTACTATTTTATTCATTGGAAACATTGTTCATCACACGTCCACGCAACTAAAACGTTTAATTCTCCCCAGAGCTGTGATTTTTATCCACGCCGAGTGAAAAAAAAACACCTTTTTTTCGTGAACGTTTTTTGGTGCGGCCGTTGGTGACCCAGACCGACAAATTTGCTGCACGGCAGGGGCCGGATTACATCCATGGTGGCTGAAACCCAGAGATGTGAACCCACGATCTCACCCCGAGGCTCTAACCACCGAGCCATCTGGCCACCTCCCAAAGTAGTCGCAGCATTTAGCTTCTTTCATTTGTAGCCTTGAACACGGGCCTAGTTCAGTACGGCTGCATTAACAAAATCTGCAATTTGTCATTTCTTTGGACCATATTACGTGTTACTTCCCATAATTAACTATTTGTTCTGCGACTCATTTTATGTATGAACTTCTTTTGCACCGTACGTAGCCAACCATGCTAATTGGAGGTGCGGGGGAAGGACAACAAACTAAACACTTTTTTTTATCAAATCGAGCATGCCAGTAAAAAGCAGAATCAAGCCCAGGCTTTTTTCAGCAAGGCCACTTTGCTCATCTCTCTTACCCTTCACCTTGAATGCATTATCAACTGTATGGCGCACGGATGCTTCAGGCCACGAGCTGACGAGTACGATTTCAAGTGGATGTTGTGTCAATTGGACCACTCGCAATAACGGCAGCGTGACAGAAAACAAAGAGCCCATTGTTTGGGTTCCCGTGGTCTTCTGAGGACGAGAGCGCCAGAGCCGCATGAAACTGAACCCCCCCCCCCCTCTGACCCGGGAAAAATGTGGTACCATCTGCTCTCTATCTCGGTTTACACGTGTCCGTTTGTGGTTCGTTGCGACTTGCTAGACTGGGCAGATGCTGATGCGTGCGCACAATCCAATCCTCCGCTTTTGGTTAGCCATCGAACAAGGGGACTGTCATTTAATCGCGTGCTCTCGGATGCGCTTCTGCTGTCGTATGGAACGCTTTTCTTTCTGATATTTGGAAGCCAGTTTTTAATACGTAGGCTTTCGTGACCAGTTATCCATATTGGAGGTTTTTGAGTTATATCTCGTAAACGCCAATGCATCCTTGATGTATATACACGATCTAACCCAAAAAAAACTCTGGATTAGGAAGCCACTTTTAAATCTAGATTGAAAATTTATTTATTCTAAAAACTGCTTTTTTTAGTTTGTCCTTTCCTCACCCCTCCTGGCTCACACTGGCTCCGTACGGTGCAAAGTGAGTTTTGCACACGTACAATGGGTTCACCTGCTAATGGATGAAATCTTATTTTCCTCCAGCATTACATTTTACCACAACTTTTATTAATACAAACATCAGGTGGGCATCTCTTGTTTCCTCTGTATTCTCACGAGGCCATGATAAGTAAACTGCTGAGTAGAAAGCCCAATGCGTTGTGTGAGTTAATACATGTACCTGGCATGCTAGGGATTAAAATTGGAGAAAAATCTCGTGGATGAAAAATCCTAATGAAAAGGAAATGAAACTTTAAAATAAATAGACGTGGCTTGGTTGGCTGTGTTCTAGGACGTGCCCCCACTATCTCTGGGTTCAAAGTTGGGTAACACCCCCATAATTAAAATCTCAAGTGTAGCGAGTTGATGGTCTTAGCCCCAGTCATCGATGACATGCGCAAAAAGTAAAAACTATAAAAAAAAAATCTGGTTGATCGTTTTCTTCGTGCATACTCCCAGCTCCTGGGAATGTAACACGTTCGGTTTGACATGCTGCAGATTTTACAAAGACACCCAGGGTTTCCAGTGTGTCGATTAGTGTGGGGTAAGAGGTCGATTTTTGAAGCGGATTCAAAAGTCGATCGGGCGGCATCTTTCATTGTGTGGCCTTCGTGACTGCTCAGGTGATGCACTGCTCATTGCAAAAGGTCAGAATGGATTTGTTTTTATAACACGACGGCGATATGATGGTTGGAGGCGGTGGGGGGGGGGATGAAAAGGAAAATAGTAAATAAAAAAAATGGTTATTCTACAGACCACATGAGGGGTAAATGGTTTGGTCGTTGAAGGTGTTTATTAATAAATACACCAATGAGTTCACCCTTTTTTTCTTCCCATATTTTAGTGAAGGCCAAAATGTACGAATCACGTATTGTCGCAATACCTGCTCTCCTTGTATATTAAAAAAAAACCCCCAACACGAATTGCAAACTGTGGGGGAAAGTTTTACAAAACTGTTAGCACGACTTTGGGAATGTTTCAATATTTGTTCTGGTACACACACACCCCAAAGAATGACTCCCCCCCCCCCCCCATCCATCCAGCAACAGACAAAACGGCATGAAACGGATGATACGGATCTCTTCGTTTACAAACAAATTATCTTCGCTCGCAAGGCTTTTTTTTATGGATTGCGGTGGAAAAGTTTTTTTGTTTTGAAGGAACGCGATGCACGGCATCTTAAATATTAAACCGCACTTTCGAGGACGATGACTGTAAATTTGAGCAATGTTCTCATAGCATAGAGCACAGTGTATTTGATTCAAATGTGTGGTTGCTTTTTATTTTACGGAGTTTCCCAAAAGTCGGGCCTCTGGGTTACATGATTTACTTGAATATTGGCATGAACATGTTTTAATAGTATATTTTTTAATCTATTATTAATATATCTTCTTTCCTGGTGGAGTCTCCTTCAAATCGGTTGATTTCCAAAACTCGACTAAGAACCCTGAATTAATTGAACCAATACATAATTTAATGTTTGAAGATTTCGCCTGTAGCCTTACAATAAACTCCTTTTTAAAAAAATGTTTTTTTTAAACAACTGTTTTATTAACAACTTCGTTTAATTCACAGTCGAGACGTACGTCAATGGCGCCTGCGTTTTGTGCGAGCCGTTTCCACGGTTTGGGGGCCGCGGCGTTTTTGACCTTCACAAATATATATAAATAATACTAGTAGGAACCTCCCGGTTACACCAGCCCACAGGATTGTGTCCGTCGTGCACGGTGGGGAGGGTGGGGCTGGGTGGAGGAGCTGGTCACCCCGTGGTGCCCTTATAAAACTCAACGTTTAACCTACTCAGGCCAGCTTGTGCCCACCCTTAGTCGGCCATGTTTGCGGAATACACCACGCCGCCGTTGACCCTGGCCATTGACCGAGCAACCCAACGTTCCTACCAGCTCCGTCCGCAGGAATGTAAGCCGTCCAAACAAAAATTTTAATTGCTTGAAAGGAGGCAATTAATTGAATTGATGTCGATTTTCATACCGGCATGCATTGCCACTAGATCGGAGGTACGTGTGCAAAATTTGGAATTGATTGGACAACAGGAAGTAGACAACTTTTGATTTACAAGATTAGACCACGACACAGGAATCGGGTTAAGTAATACCGTTGAAAGACCTACATTCA